TACAGACCACTATAAGTTGGTTCCATTCATAGATTTCAAATCCAGGGATAGTGGAAAAAAGCTGCAATTATTTGATCTGACCTCCTGTACGGTACAAGCCGCAGACTTTCATCACGTGATTTCTACAAACACGTTACTTGGATTGAAATAAAAAGACTCTTCCAAAAACATTCAAATTCTAGTATGAGATCCATCTTTCTAAAACAAACTGTTGTCATTGCTACATTTGCCATTAAGAATAGAAGGGAAAAAAAAGCCTTTCTTTAATTTTTCATCCTCAGTCCCAGACACCGGGTGTTATGCCTTCAGCAGATTATTTACAAGACCTCTATACTGTCAAGAATCTTCTCTGATTCTTTTTCCACAGACATTTTTTCACATTATCAAATCTCCATGTGTTTTCCCTTGGATAAAATGAGTAACTTGTGATGCTTTAGCCTGTCCCTTATCTTCCGGATCACAAATCCATCTTGCAGCATTTCTCTGAATCATCTGCCGCATCCAGAACATTGCTGAGACCAGGGTGAACGCAGTGTTCCTATAACCATCCTACTACGTTACACGTGACACTAAGCCAATGCTCTTATTTATTACTTCACTTATAGATCCAGGAATTGGGAATTAACATACAGCTCTTATATCCCTATAGCCACCATCTTTTCAGTCTATTTTCCAGGAAGCATATGCTGGGAAGTAAACCTGCCTTAAATGTTTTATATCACACACAGGCTTACATTTGACACCGCAGTGACACAACTGAGAGTACTGACCACCTAATCTAGACCTCTGTGGAAGTCATCTGCTTGTGATGCTTCTCATGCCTCCAAATTGGTGCTTCATCTACAAACTACACCAGCAGGTGGTTAGTATTTTCTTCTCAACTGACAGCTGCTGAATGCTATTGCAAAACGGTCCAGAAACACCCAAACTACTGCCTGCTGGGAGCTTGAGGAATACAGCAGAGAAGTTCTGTGCCAGCTTATCTGGTTTCTCATATTGCCCCCGAGCAGCTGTGTCTGCCCACTGTCAGACACGGGCTAATGAACTGGACAGATTTGTAGCCTGACCTTTCATGTTCCAGCACAGGGCCAATATCAGATCCTTCCAAAACACCGCTGGAAACCTCCACGCTGTGATGAAGATCCTGATTTACAGTTACAGCTTTAAGACATTCCAATTCTGAATCCTTTTATTTAACAAAGGATACCCTAAATCAGAGTCTTAAAGACAAGACACGAGATGAATGAAACACTAACAGGTGAGAGCTGGAAGGGGAAGGAAAGAGGCAGGGCAATAAATAATACGCAGTAAAAATTCCTTTGGAAATTCTTTACCGTAACAATGAATACAGAAAGCCACCGGCCTAAACGGTATTCAGTGTTCACAGGCAGGTGGGGATTGGCGGAGCTAAACGGCAAAGAGATGTTAAAGCAAAGGGAGCCAGCGGAGACAAAAGTGCTGCTACGTTCTGAGTACGCTTGTGAGGGAAAAAGATGTTTAGTAACGAGCTGAAGGAGGACGAGGATTATACCTGCAGTAAATCAATACACAAAACCCATCCTGGATAAGTTTGGGCAGAGCAGACAGAGTAGAAAGGTTCAGTCCTGAAAAGTCTGGGCAAGAAAGGAGGCAAGATATAGACAATTTTATGGATGTTAAAGGTTGAATTCAGCTCTAGACACCTACAGTTAGGTACCTCTGTATGTGCTTGGTGTTGGCACTCCCAACACAGCAAGTGGGATACGGAGAGCAACTCTGCTCACCCGGACATAGACAGTTACATGGGGTCAGCCAAATCGCTGCCCACACTCCACTCGCTGGTAATATGAATGGCATCTATTTCTTTGGCAGAAGTGGAAGAGCAGGAAGCCAGTTGAGGGTGAAGAGACTCAAATTTGGATGCTAAGACAGAATATGAGGACAAAAAATTCAAAACAGCAGATGGGTATATTAAATTTATGATGCCAGTCTTGTGCTTTGTGCATTATTCTCTTACTGCCTTGATACGTCTTCACGTGTCATTTTCCAGAGACAAGATGGAAAGATTTCCTATTCCTATTTCCTAACGTCATTCACTTCATCCTAAGCCTCCTATAAACACTGCCTTTCTATCTCCATTTTCCTCTTTAAGATGTCGACAGATATTTGAACATGGTGCTCACTGGAGAGAGAATAAACACAATTTACTACCCCATCTTCTCCCTGCCCAATACGACACAAATTGTTCTCATTTTTACTTCAGGTCGAGGTTCGTACCCTGTAAGGCCCGCGCTTTTGCTCAGTGCCGCAAACTCATTTTGCTGGAACTATGCATTTGCTACACTGTGCTTGCACACCCAGAAGACACCTTTTGGCCCTAAGGCTGAGGAACATCAGCACTGACTGTACAGGCAGCTGGTCAGAGAGAATTAGCTATAGGAAGAAAGAAAACGTAAGGAAGATCTTTTAATCGTCACATATCTTACAAGATCCAGAGGGAGATGCTCAATTTGAGGACCACTGCTTTCTCACTAGGGAGTAATACAAGTTAATTTAGTTCCAACCACATGATGCTACCATAAATTTTCCCTACCCCGTTCCACTCACCGGATAGGCTAAGCACAGCTGTACAACTTCTCCCAGCACGTTTTCCAAGCCTTACTGCCTGAACAATTCTGACTACTAGACCTTCCACCCAAGGCTCCTGTAAGGGTAATGGAAACAAAACAAAGAACTGCCACTTCCAAAGGAAGGAGGAAAGGAAAATCTAAAAGTCACATGCTTCAAAACCATCCTTAAAACAGCAGAGGGCGAATCTTGTGGACACGTGAAAATCTGCAGTGTAGCAAATTGCTATTAATCATTATTTTAGCTAATAACGCTTAAACAGAGCCCTGACAGGGTTTATTGAGAGCCTGCATAAAAAACTTTGGAAGGTATAAAAAACATTTTAAATACTATCAAAAATTCAAAGACTTTCTGTCTCTGGAGACGGTCTCTGTTAATACAAGATATCTAATAAATGGCACGGCAAAGATTTAAAACAGTTTCCTCAGATTTTACAACTACTTCTAACAAAAGAATGGAACAGCACAGACCTACGAACTACAAGATAGATTTATGGTGTTTTACACTGAAACAAAGTTCTAGTAAATTTTGATATAATAAGACAGCCTACATAATGAGGAACAAAATCCCTCATTTCATTAATGTATTCCCTGTGCATTTTCCAAATATGAACTGCACATAATACACCATATATACAGTTTACAGATGATCTGCTAGAAATGAGCGTTCTACTTTCACGTCAGCACTTTGTTACTACTTAAAGAGTAAGATTTTAGGAAAAAACATGACTTCATTAAGAGGGCTTTGCTTGATATAACGAAGGAGTAGGACAAGTAATAGTGAAAGACAGGAATCTTCCAGAAGACTATTGTGATGAACTGTCTCTCAATTAGCTACACCTGTAAACTGAGTTTAAAAAGAGCAAAACGGATTAATACCTACTGACCTCTTAACTCCAATTAATTTCTTAAAAAATGCAGCGGACTCAAAGTAACTGCATCCGCAAAGATATTTTTCATTTAAGCCAATGCTAAAACATTTTCTACCATGCTCTGGAGCATAGTTTTATTTCTCCGTCTATATTTTTTGTATTTTCCTAGATAACAATTTACCCCGGGGGCCAGCAGGGAAGTATGCTGACTCCAGCTTACCTTCTTGACAGGAAAGCGAGAAGGAAAAAAACAGCCATCCTAGTCCAAATTTATCTACCTTCTGAGAATACGCAAAACCTCAAAGACTTAAATGACTTCGAAGACCTCGGGCTATCTATTGGGAACGGGCATACTTCACGCTGCAAGCCCTTAACGGATGATACCCGGTCTCAGATGGCGGGTACAGGCACCTACATTTAGGAATTACGCATGGACTCACTTGACTAAAGCCCGGCTACTCTCATTTTACGCATGAGAAAACAGATTGCACAAGACAACTCCTGCAAAATAATCACGTTCACGGTCTAGCCTAACCTCTGCCACATTTGTACATCGTCCAGGGCTCTGCCTTCCTTGGTTTAAGCGCCTCCCGTAGCGCGAAAAACCCAAGCATGTGGGCCGGTCTACCTTGCTGCACACATGACTTGCTCTTCTCCAGACACAGCTCTACTACGCATTTATGCTTAAAAATTAGCAATAAGGACCGCCGAGGGCTCAGCAGGCCACAGGACTGGCACGTTAGCCAGGTACATATATACGAAAGGTAACACGCAACTAGAGCGCTTTAATTAAAAAATGGGCAAAAGGGTGGTAAAAAATCACCAAACGCATCAAGGATAAACAAGGAAGAAATCATACTTTGGGGGGTTTACAGCAAACTTTTTTATACGCTACGACAAAAACAAGGTTAGGAGCTGGTATGGTCCATGGCTAAGTGAAAAGGAGAAAGCTCTGGCACTACAGTTGCCTTATTCAGAAGTACACTATAGTTTTCCAAATCCTGCGTGGCTTCACCCACCTTTTTCTTATGCTCCCATGTTCCTGAAAGGAGAAAACAAAATCCCCCCCAAAACAACAAAAAACCCCCAACCCTCAAACAGCTAATACAAGCTTTCAATTTAAATTAGGGATAGTTTATTTTCAAAAGATTAAAGCAGTAGCTAACGTAGTTTAGAGCTGCAGCACAGAAACGTCATCTTTCCAAACAGATCAAAAGAATCGCCTGATCTACAGTGGTTTCGTATTTAAATAGTCTGGAACCTGAGTCCTGGCAACACAGACGTTCACCCCTGCTTTTTGTGCTTCATGGAAACTGCAGCATCAGGATCCTAAAGCAGCATCATTTCTCATCAAAACAGTAATCAAAAGTACATTATTATAAATCCCTAAACAGAAGCATTTATAGATTAGTGCAGCTAATCCTTAACTGAAGGTTAATACTATGCATATGTGAACAAATACATAAAAGAGAAAACTACAAAAAAGCCATTTAAGAGATAGCATTCAATTTGTCATTTCAACCTCTCTTCGTCGTGATGCCCAGCAACTTTGTTTAATCTTCCAAACCACAGCTGCCACCAGGAGCAAAGACAGGAAACAACTGTAAAGGAAAAAAAAAAAAAAAAAAAGTTCTTATTGTCCTTGTTCGTAACATATCAGCAGCTGAAAACTCTAGCAAATCCAAAACTAGACTGAAAGTTCTTATAATACTTAGCGGTACTTGGATGGAAGATAATACGGCTGTGCAAAACGTTTTGCACAGTTCAGCGCTCGTGACACCTGGCGAGGAAAGATGTACATCTATTTTCAGAGAAAACTGTAGTTCCAAAGCTTCCTATTTGACCTCTTCATACAACACTAGGACATTTCACTAGGAAATCGGAACAGTAAGGCGGAAAGATGCAATCAAGTTGGGAAAAAAACCAACAAAAAAATCAAAACAGTACTGACTATCTTTGGCTACGTTTAAAGTGAGAGGATAACTCGAAAAAGAAAAGCCTTAAAGAGGCAGAGAAAATAAATATTTGTCTTTTCCAAATTTCAAAAATAAACTAAAATGCTCAGCAGTTGCATTCAACTGGCTGCTGCAAAACTACAGGCACGTCTTGATTTCCCTAAACCCACACTGTTGGTTTGTTGTTTTTTTTTTTTTTAATTTAAAGAGAGAAAGGATGAATATATTTATCAACTTTTAGGGAAAACAGATTTAACAAAGAGCCATAATAATAATAATAAAAAAGCTGACTTTATTGACATTTATGATCTTATCAGGCAGAATAACAGCAACTTCAAGGCTCAGTTCATACTGGACTGATACAAAATAAGAAAGTTTTTTTTTTAAAACTAGCATTTATCTTGCAGCTGAAATCTAGAATTGCACCAAGGGGATGCGTGAGTGTGCAAGATCTGCAGCACCAACGCGAGCCCGTGGTGTCCAGCACGGTCCTGCAGAGTCATGGGGTCTGATCTGCTGGAACATCTCCCCCAACTCCATCCGCATCCCTAGCCTGATGTGGGAACCACCTTTGCTCCTCACAGTTTTTCCTAAGACCACAATTTTTGTTTCTGTACAACGGTACCGCAGAAAGCCTCTCTTCTGAAGTACCACCCTGAAGCACTACCCTGAGGTAGGAGCAAACGTCTACAAACCTCCTTCTTCATGCTCTAGCATATACCTAAAGACAGTACTTAAAGGAAGATTAAGAAATAAGTCGTCTGTTCTTGTTAAAGTGCGCTATTTAAGCCAACCACTGTGCGCTGTACGTTTGAAGT